TTCACATTTAAGGTACCTTTTCATTTTTTAAATAATTTCAAACATCAGTTTTCAATGTTTTATGTTTAAAATATCAAAACATTATTTATACATTTGTAACTGCAGGTTAAAGTATTCCATGCTCCTCAGAGCTGCATTAAACAATGTGTAAATGCATCTAAATGACACTTCTAATGCAGCTTCTGTGTTTCCTCTGCATTGCAAAGATAAATTTTGTTGATACTGATTTTATTTGCTTGGTAACAGCCCAAATGCAAGAACTTGAATCAAAAGATGATGCACACTTTTAGAAAAAATGGCTTAAAGGTAAAAATGCCCATAAAACTTACTGGAAAATATTAATTTCTATCACTGCTGTGAACTGACCACAGAGAATATGAAGAATATAAAAAAAATTCAGGAGTCAACTGTCCACGGTAGTCCTTAAGATATCAGCACAGTAACACACTCAGCAAAATATTGTCTAATTATCGTTATCGATAAAATCCCAGAAATGTATCCAGATATAATTTTTCTGCCAATAGTTGGGACTATGGTTTCAGAACTGTGTTGGTAACGATGGAACTTGCGACTATAGTTGGCTAACAATACTTTTGGGAAACGCTGCCCAGATCGTTCTTTCATGAATGAATTGTTATGTTCGATCTGTGAACCAGTTTAAGAGGTTGATTGGAAAAAATCAGCTTGTTTCCTAATCAGGCATCGCTGTTGCGTCTCTGAAGGGGTGGTGATTTCTCCAGTTTGGAATAATGAGGAACTCTATGTAGGCCTGTCGCAATAATCAATATATCGACTTATTGCGCAATATATGTACATGACCTCAATAATTTTTGGTGACGCAATATATCGCCCATTATATTTACTTAAAAATTTATGTCACCATGTTTTGTACATTCCACATATATCGCACAACAAAAAGTTGTTATCGTGACAAGCCTAACTGTATGTTTTTATGAAATATAGTGGTAAAAAGTACAATATTTTGCTTTGGAATGTAGTGAAGTGAAAGTTTCCCAAAATAAAATAAAAAAAATACAGGTACTTGAAAAATGTACCTAAGTAAGGTAACAAAAGAAATAAAAAACACTGATTAACAATAACAACACTGCTAAGTATTAAACTTCAGCGTCTAAATCGTCCCACACCATTTGTACCCAAAAATTCAGACTCATATCTACAGACCAGAATATCATATTGAGAGTGTTTTTTTTTTTTTTTTTTATCTGGGCCAGTGCTAAGTATTAAACTTCAGCGTCTAAATCGTCCCACACCATTTGTACCCAAAAATTCAGACTCATATCTACAGACCAGAATATCATATTGAGAGTGTTTTTTGTTTTTTTTTTGATCTGGGCCAGTAAGCAACTACCTAGCAACCACACAGAACACCATAGCAACCACTCAGAACACCTTAGCATTATAGTGTCAAGTTTTATGCAAGCAATCACCAGTCACATTTTCTTCAAAGAAAAAAATTCATTATAAAACAGATAGTTCCAGTCCTTGATTCTGATTGGTTGAGCCGCGTTCCCCCTTAGCTGTTATAAATTCACTGTAAACCACGGCTTCTTGGGGCTTATTGCTTTATTTTATCATTAGTAAAAGAAATGCTCTATCCTTTCATAAGGGCCATCCTGTTTTTCTGTTTTTGTGCACTGACTGCTGATAATTCAAGGCTGTGGTCTGTGTCGCACACTTAATCAGTTCTAACAGTATCTAGCGTGTGGAAGTCACACACACACACACACCGCAGTCCTGCTTTGGGCTAAGTGGCCGTCGCCACAGCAACATGACAATTTTCACGAGCCCTTGAAGAGAGTGATACATGTTCCCGTCTGATGTTTATCTCTCCACGCAGGAGCTGGTGGAGGACGAGGCGGGCGGCGGCGTGGCATCATGTGAAGCCAGCATGAGCTGGGACGTGAGTGCGGAGAAATTAGCAGGAACGGTGGGCAAACTCTGCAAGGCTGAGTCGCAGACTCTCATGTCACCTAGGTAACAGACGCGGCCTTCTATTCTTGCCTTCCTGCTTTCCTTTTCCATCTGTTTTCTATCGCAAACTCTCTCTCACACTCTCAAACTCATTTTTTCTGTCTGAACAATCCCCTCAGATGCAGTTTTCACTGTTGAATTTAATAATAGTCATAGCAGATGTTCCCGCATCTGGGTGTTTCTTCAACTACTGAGGTCAAATGTTTGGTGCGAAAACACAGTGTGATAAAAATTTGAACTGGTGGTAATGCACCTGTTCAGACAGATGCAAACATCTGCATACTGTCCATTTACAGACAGGGTTGTTGACATGTCTTTTCCATCGCACTGCGAAAAACTTGTCAGATTCATACTTTTGGTCACATGCCCAGAGCTGTGACATAAAACTATGACTTGGTGGTGCTCACGAATAGACTATTTGGCTACGCGACAGTAAATAGTAGAGTAAGCATTTGGAACTGGCTCTGTCTTGTCTTCCCGTGACAAGTGAATGTCAAACAGGAAGATGTGCAATGTTTCGCATCACGGAAATGTTTCTGCTTTTATGTAAGCGCCACCTACTTTCAGAGAGTGAAACTGCATTTTCATTCAACCTCTTTGCTGTTTTTTAAATATATATATATATATATATATAAATAACATAAATGTGAAAATCCGACCAAATTTTTGTGCTGAACATTCATGATGGTGTCAGTAGGCCTTTACTGGACATTAACATGAACAGATTACAACTTTTTCTTTCAAAGTTTATTTTAAGGTCCAATTCTCGCTATTAATGAACTATTAACTACGACTTTTGCCTCAATAAACTCCTAATTAGAACCTTAAAAAGGTAGTTGTTACGTTTAGGTATTGGGTAGGATTATGGATGTAGAATATAGTCATGCAGAATATGTGCTTTATAAGTACTAATAAACAGCCAATATGCTAGTAATATGCATGCTAATAAGCAAAGTTAATAGTGAGAATTGGTCCCTTTACTAAAGTGTTAACACTTTTTCTATATGAATGTCTTTTTTATTTATAGATGTCTTTGTTTTTTTTGCTTAGATTTTATTGTTTTATCATTGTCCTTAAAATGTGTCTTAAAACATGAAAATTCATCATAACATGAAATATGATAAGCTAAACAAACAGTGAAATAGACAAACCATTTAAATATTTATTTTGTGAAAATTATTTATAATAGATTTTACACAAATAAGGACTGTTGTGTTGTCATCCCAACCAACAATATTGCCCTAATAAAATTTTATATTGAATGAACTGGTGGTAATTCGTCTGTTTAGACCCACACGAATATTCGCATGCCAACAATTTACAGACAGGGTTATTGACCTTTTTTAATCACAAAATTCTGACCAACCAATAAGATTGTCACTTTTGGTCACATGCCCAGAGCCGGTGCAGTTGCATAACACAACAATTTTGCCCTGAAAATTGGAAAGTCACAATGAAACTGAAGTAGCAAAACATCTTTTCTTCAATTTTGTGACATACATCAGAGTGAAATGGCTAATGAAAAACAAGGTGGAGACTTGGTTCTATGCACCAGTTGTTGATTGAATGTAGACAGATTTGAATCAAGCTTGCACTCAATTGTAGAAAGGCATGGGGTTTAAGTAAACTAAAGTCTGGCATACAATACATCGCCAGAGAGGAGTCTGTTGTTTCACCTGGAAGATTGAATTTGTGACATTTTGATTAAAAATCACGAGGTGCATTTTTATTTCATGCCGACTTTAAACCAGCGAGTCTATTTTCTAACACTCCACAGGACCGAAAGTGCTCAGTTGAAGAAACACCCATCTGTTATATTTCTCTTGTGGTCCATCATAACATCAAGTCGTCTGTTCTTCCATGTAGTTTTCTAGCTGGTTGTTCTCACAGGCCTCTGCTAGACGGCATATGTGTGTGTTTGCATTGGCTAATGAGCTCATTAAGACTCAGTCCCCGAGCGATGGGCTCACAGACACTTTAGTAAATGTGGAATGCAGCCACGCATCACTGATTCGCCTCTTTTTAGCTTCTTTCTGTGGTGATGCCACAAATTGTGATGCACGATCTTCTCTAGTGCTACAGCTCTTAGTTCAGACTGAAATTACAACTGTGAAGTGTTCTTCATCTGTGAGTTGAATATTCTGTATTTATATCCAGTCCAGCTGGTCAATCACCAGACCAGCTTGGATCATCTAAAACACACCTATTGCCTTCAGCAGGTTTTAGCTTGGTTTTCCAGCTTGGAGGACTTGTGTCAAAAACTTCTGGGAGGAACTATAATATCTGTTCTCATTCCAGCAGTTCTAATATGTCTTTCTCCTTGTTGGGTGGCCAGTAAAACAGACAGTAAGCTGCAGCGACGTCCGCGAAGCACATCCATGAAAGACAGACAGAACTCTAAAGCTCAGAGCGATCGCACCAGCAGCATCGAGAGCGAGACCTCGCCAGACTCCAGGCTCATCACGCAGGTTTGTGTAAGTGTGTTTGTGTCTGCCAGGATAAGAATAAGGAAATACTGGAAGACTGATTTGTGTATACGCGTGCTCATTTTCTGACCTGGTGTCCTTCCTGTCGCAGGCGCGAGTGAACGAGCGCTGCTGCGCGCATGCACACTTAACAGACAGAGCGCAATGCAATTGACTCGCAATAATTCTGAGTAAAATATACATTTTGCTAAAATATTTGTTCTTGGACATTAAATGTGTCTTTTGTAGAATTTTAAACCTACATATAAGTTTATTTTTATGATAGCAGTAACTGTGAAGGGACTTGTAATAGGTAAATAAAATGTAAGCTAGTACAGTACTAATTACTAAGCTCTGATGAGTTAATGTGTATTTCTTATACCAGTTAAAATATAGTAATTTTCTTTATTATTTATTTTATTTTTAACTTTTAATTTAGTTATTTTAATGCTTTAAAGAGCAATTTTAGATTGTAATGTTCTAATGTTTTGCTATCTGTTCTGCAAACTATAAAAGGGTATAGCTGTATTAAAACCAGAGAGAAAGGCTGCATGGCTAGAAACGGTAAAAAAAAAAAAGAGTCAAATAATAGTATGTGAGAGAGTAGCAATATCATTGTGTTCCTATTGGTCAGTGTTAGAGGAACTCCGCTTAGTCTGACAGTTAGCCTGCTTTAGACCAGGTTAGTTTCCCAGCATAAGTTGCCACAGTGACTGAGGTTAATCTATGTTAAGTATGCTTTATAGAACCAAATCATTTGACAATGAGTCAGACTAACTGAAATAAGCCTGGCTTATTTGGTAAACTTGTTTTATTAAACGGGCCTCGAGGCATTAAAAGGGATCATATTTTCTCCATTGCATCGAATCGCATTTTGTGTAAAAATCGGATCACACCGCATCGTAACAGGGGTGAATCACATCGCATCGGTAGCTGCTTCATATGTATCGTTAATGTATCATATCGTTGGCTACACATCGAGATGCGTATCGTATCGGCCTGAGTCATGAGATGCACATCCCTAATATATATATATTATCTATACTTATTTTGCTGGATCTGTCTGCTGCTTTTGATACGGTGAACCACCAGATTCTCCTGTCAACCCTATTGGCAATTGGCATCTCAGGAACCGCACGCCAGTGGTTTGAGTCTTACCTCTCAGATAGATCCTTCAAGGTATCTTGGAGAGGTGAGGTCTCCAAGTCGCAACATCTAGCTACTGGGGTGCCTCAGGGCTCAGTACTTCGACCACTTCTCTTCTCTGTCTACATGGCATCACTAGATTCTGTCATTCAGAAACATGGCTTTTCATATCACTGCTATGCTGATGACACTCAACTCTACCTCTCATTCCATCCTGATGATCCGACGATAGCTGCTCGCATCTCAGCATGTCTAACAGACATTATCAAAATTTGTTAGGCTCATCAACCATAACTCCTTCAAAAACAGCTAGAAACCTTGGAGTTGTGATTGATGTGATTGATGATTGCTCAGACCACATTGCTAAAACTGCCTGGTCCTGCAGATTTGCTTTATACAACATTAGGAAGATCAGGCCCTTTCTTTCAGAACATGCAACACAACTCCTTGTTCAAGCTCTTGTTCTGTCCAGGCTAGACTATTGCAATGCTCTCTTGGCAGGTCTTCCAGCCACTTCTATCAAACCTCTACAATTAATCCAAAATGCCGCTGCAAGATTAATCTTTAATGAGCCGAAAAGAACGCAAGTCACACCTCTGTTCATCAATTTGCACTGGCTACCAGTAGCTGCTCGCATTAAATTCAAGGCATTAATGTTTGCCTACAAAACCACCACTGGCTCTGCACCCATTTACCTAAATTCATTACTTCAGAGTTATGTGCCCTCTAGAAGCTTGCGTTCTGCAAGTGAACGGCGTATTATTGTGCCATCTAAAAGAGGCACAAAATCACTTTCACAGACTTTTTCATTAACTGTTCCCTCCTGGTGGAATGACCTGCCCAAATCAATCCGAGCAGCTGAGTCCTTACCCATCTTCAAGAAACGACTAAAAACACATCTGTTCCACCTTTATTTGACCCTCTAACTCGAACACTTTCTATTCTATTTTAATTCTACTATATCTATTTATATTATTTTTTATTTAAAAAAAAATCAACTAACACTAGCTTTCTATTTTTTTTTCCTATTCTATCTACTTGTTTTTCTTTGTGCGTGTGTGTGTATATGTATGTGTGTGTGTGTATAATATATACAGTGGGTACGGAAAGTATTCAGACCCCCTTAAATTTTTCACTCTTTGTTATATTGCAGCCATTTGCTAAAATCATTTAAGTT